TGTCTGCAGCTGTGCTCAGCAAGCTGCCCACACAGGCCAGGAAAAGACACCAGTTACCAGGCAGAGGAGTGGGGAGGCCAGCTGTGGGCAAGGGGCTTCACACACTGTGCCTGTGGTGGGGGTCCTCCTCTGTAGACCATGGGCTGAGGGTGTGCAGGAGGAAAATGTTCCTCTGATCACTGGCACTAAGCAGCAGAGTGTGAGGTCAAACCACGTCCCCATGGTAGGGAGGGTGATGCTGCGCTGTCCATGTTCCCTGACCGAGCCAAGGGGCCAAGCTCAGTCCAGGGTCAGAGACTGGAGTCAGAACTCGGCAGAGCATAAATCATGGCTATGACAGAGGCTCCGCTGACAGTGAAGATAACGGGTCTGTCAGAGGCCAAAACCAGGACTCAGTCTGGACCATTGTCAGGTCACAGTGTGGGGACCAGCAGAGGATCAGAGTCAGAGTCCCACGGGGCACAGCAGGGGGAAGATCCTCTCACACCAGGCCCCTCCTCCATAGCTGATGCTAGGGTTGGCCCCAGGGAAAGCCAGCTGACAGCCACCATGAGGCTGGATGCCATGTGTCAGGTTGCTGCAGGGTCCAGGGCCACAGCGGGTAAGTCTTCCTGGGGCAGAATCTGCCCCTCCCTGGTGGAGCAGGATGGAGGAAGCCCTCCTCTCGAACTTAAAATTTGGAGGTTCCTGCTCTGTACACAGCCTGGACCCCTGGGAATTTGGGGCACTAGGAGGGAGAAGGATAGCGGAACTGGCTCCTGAGAGAGCACCCGAGTGACAAAAGGCCTTGGGGCAGGGAGGATTTGAGGTAAAAGGGGAAACTGCAAGAAAAAGGAATTCTGATCTGGATGGAGCCAGGCACGGGTGGAGCTCTAGGAACTGAGGAGCCTCAAGAGAGCTGGCTGGACCACTGTCTCTGGAAGGTCACCTATTGCCTGGGCATCTTCATTTTCTCACTGTGACATACTCACTATGACAACAGCCCTCCAAGCCCCAGGTTTCATGGAGATCAGGAGAACAGGCTGGGAAGCACCCTGCACTCCATAATGAGGCAGTGAGCAGAGGCAAGCGTGTTGCTGCCTTAAGGGGCCAACAGTTCTAGCCTCAGCCTCTCCTAGGGTGGTGGCAGCTCACAGCAGGAGGGACGATCACTCCCTGCATTCAACCCTACTGTCCAGGCAGTGAGGAAGGAAGCAGCCAGGGCAGGGTCCCCTAGGATCCAGGTCCTTCCCACCATCTGCTGGGAAGAAGGCTGTCCCTGTTCCCTCTGTCGGGATGGATGGACCCTCAGGCTTCCCAGGTAGCCCACGAGAAGTCAATGCTCAGGCAGCCCTGCTCCTCTCAGAAAGCAGCAGGAGGGCGATGAGAAAGGGAAGACAAGGTAGGCAGGGAGGTCAAGGGAAGCCTTGGAGAGGTACTAGAGGGCCAGGACTGCTACCTCCCTGCCACTCTGGAGAGAGGACAGGAGTGGGAGACTGGAAGTGGGAGGCCAGTGTACCAGAGGATGTGGCAGAGAGGAGAGGTGGGTGGACAGCTCTCCTGGAGGCCACATGATGCCACAGGGTCTGACAGCACTAGATAGTGATGACAACGATGGGATGAGAAGGAGCCCAGGCTTCCAGCTTGGCTGTGTGGAGGATGACATCACCCACTTTCCCCAGAAGAGCAACAGGAGTGCACTTCCATGGGGAGGCAGTAAGCTCCCTGAGGGCCCCAGCCAGCACCCTCAGGCAGGAAGCACGCTGTAAATGCCTCCTCCGCTGATAGGAGTACACACCCGCAGCAGCGTGGTCAAGGCAGGGAGTCCACATACGCAGATGGGATACAGACCGGGCCTGGCCAGGGGCCAAGGAGACTGCACAGCAAGGTGGAGGAAGCACCCCAGTACCCTCCCCCAGCCCAAGGCCTCCCTCTCCTGACACTCTTCTGACCTCCGCCCATGACGGCTCCCTAGGCTCCCTCCAATCTGGTTCCAAATCACATGTACACACCAGTGGTGGCAGGCTGCCAGGCCGTCTGTCCAATGGCAGGACAGCAAGACAAGACTGGGCTGTCTGGCAGACACAAAGGAGGAAGCATTCCAGTAGCCACGGCCCAGAGGCCGCTGCAGATAAGGCCTGGCAACCTCAAGACCTTGCCCCTCATTGCACTCTAGAAGCCTCAGTGCTCTTGTGTGGCTTAGTAGGAATCTTTGGGGACTCAGGTGCACAGGGAGACCTATAGTGACAATGAAGAAGCCACAGGACCAGCAAAGCTCCACAAAGACTGAGCTCCACCAGATGGCAAGATACAACCTTCATGTCTGTACCAAGATGTTTCAGATGTCAAGGCTCATGCAAATGGCAGTAAGCAAGAACCATGAGGCGCTTTCCGGGCTTTGGAGACAGACCCTGACATACCACATGGGCTGTCTCTGATTCGCTCAGTAACTCTAGGAAATAGATGCCTTATTTTTCCACAGTTAGCATACAGATGCTCAGAGACTGGAAGCAACATGCCCAAAGCATCACAGCAAGTCAACAGAGTGAGCTTCCAACCTCTGCCCTCTTTTAAACCCAGACACGACAGCACCAGTCCCCAGGTTTTCTGACTCCTGACCCAGGGTAATCTGTACTATCTCCTAGCCTGTTTTTATTGAGTTTTCAAAAACCCAGTGGAAATATTAAATAGAGCAATCTGGATAGAAGTACACTGTCATTGGGAAAACACATTATAAATGTAAGGCCTTGCTATTATTCTTTAATTCAGGTCACAAACTTTTATTTTGCTAATTTTGGATTCAATGTAAACCAACAAATTATCAGCAATTATCACTATCATAAAAGAAAAATGATTTTAATGCTAAAAATTATAGGGAGGACATAATTGTGGAGCTATATGTGCAGAAAGCAGTCCTCTCTGTTGAGGACATTTGTCCTTATAGAAAAACACATCACAGGGCTGTTTTTCCCACTGCCAAAAATATTGGGTTTATACTCAGAAATCACTGGCCCAGACAACCTGCAAGGTGTCATTTCAGCTCCAGAATTCTTCTGCACATTGACTGTTATTCTTTACTAAATAAAAACATCCTTAAGGAACAGAATTCAATGACAGTCTTCAACAATATAATTTTCACTAAAATCTATAACTGAGGAAAAAATCACTTATCCTCTATTGAAACATAGTTTTTTCAACCAGGTCCAAAAAATGCCGGCTGTCCCATCAATTCATTTGTGTCTGTGGAAAACGGGCCGTGGTTTGGCTTTGTGGAGACAAACCCCACCGCAGGTAGCCACTTCCACTTCCAAACTGCTGCTGTGGTTTCCTCCTCCCACAGGCTCAATAGGGACGATCCGGGCAGTTTTCCTTTCCCAAGTCCCTGAGGAATGTGGCCACATCTCTGTATTAATCATGCTTTTAACTTTATGATGGTTTGACATCTTGGAGACCTTCCTGGCCAGGGAGAGACTGCCCCTTCTACACAGGCTTGTTCCTACAGAAAATAAATGATGTGCCCATGAACCCACCTTCCATAAGCAACCACGCAAACTCAGTTCATACTCTAGGGATCTCCTTTGACGAACATTCCCCACCAAGGTAGCTCACCTGTCCTACAGCAACCAGGGCCCAGTATTAAGTGCCTAGCACCTCCCAGGCCCAGAGTTACTCTAAGCTGTTCACACTGTCTTGACTTTGCTTCAGAAACTTCCATAAAGGCTGTAGTCCTGACACACCGTGGCTTCCCCTGTGGCCCTGCCTACCGTGGTGTGACACACCCCTTCTCTTTGAAGCTATGTCAAAAATTCTTTCAATGGCATTAGTCTCTCGGTCATCAGCCAGCTCCATAAATGAAAATCCTACACGTACATTTTGAACTGCCACTCTCTCTCTGCCTCACCCTTCCTCTTTCTCGGTGCACTGGAGACCAGAAATTTAGGGGTGCCTCTGACAAATACACTCACGCTCACCAGCCCCTAATGCAGCAGAGGCTTTATCTATGAATTGTGTCTGAATGTTAGAAACCTCAAAGATTTTTTGAAGACCTGTGCACCTGCTCGGGGTGGACCCTGGGTTGTAGGAGGCTGGTGGTACCACTGCCATATCCTTCACCACGGTTCAGTAGTAAACAACAGGAGAGCTTGCAGGAGCCTCAGGCCTGGGGAGCTGGTGGGCTGCGTGGGCTAAGCCCCCAGAGCATCAGCCACAGATCAGACCAGCAGGAAGAAAATGAAGAGAAATTCTCAGCCAACACATGGACCCCTCCTCTCCCCACCCTCAGCTGCATGTAAACAGCAGTACTGCCAACCTACAAAGACATAAGGCTCAGTCCCTGACCACCAAGTCTCCCCAGGACATCCAGGAAGACCATCAGCAAGCTGACACATCTGTAGCGTCACTCTCCCGGGTCTAGGACTGCGATTGAGAAAACAGGCAGAAGGGCACCAGAAGAGGCCAGTGTGACACACAAGAAAGACAAAGACATAGAACCCCAGAACTCAGCAGCAGGGCCCTGGCTCTGCACACATGGCCTCTTCATAGGGGGATTTTATGGATTGAGACCAGTGGTACAACCTTAAGTGACCTCATTCGCTCTGCCTTTGTTCACCACGCCACCACCTATGTCTCCTGTAAATTGTGTCATCCAAAGGAGATGGTCACGAAGGCACACGAGAGCGGGCTTCCCAGTCCCGCCACCCTCTCTCCGTCCAGGTGGAAAGGACATCCACCAGCTTTCCATGGTGTTATCCACTTGGCCACTCCCACCCCACCCCACCAGCCGCACACCCCTCATTCGGGAGCAACTCAGAACATGGCAACCCAGGAACATGAGGGGATAAGACAGCAGCCCAAACTCAGGTCCAGTGGCCCTGCAGGCCCTCTGCTCCTTCCCGTGAACAGGATGGAGAAGACGCTGCCACCCTCTAGGCTCTGAGAGGGCAAGAGGACCAGAGCCCCAGGGGCTTGCACCACCAGCCAGGGAAAAGGCAGAAAGGGCCCCTAGGGTCACGTTAACTCACGCTGCTTCTCCTGGAGGACGCTCGACGTGCACGGCGTGGCTCCTTCTCCTAGGGAAACAAAGGAGATGTGAGCAGGTGACCTGTTGCCTCTCCCGACCAGACGCTAAGTTTCCTGAAGAGGCCATGGTGGCCACACCTGCCCCTGTGCTCCAGACTTGAGGGTAGGCAGAGGTTTCGCTCACTGCTTCCATCCCTGCCCCACTTACCACAGACTTAGCCCTGGGCCTTTACGTGAGACACAGCCCAGAGCCTGTGGGACACCACTGCTACAGAAGGCCTGGCCTCGCTCCTCAGCGATGCCCCAGCCTTCTCGCCACCATCTCCTCTGACTCTCCACCCTCATAAACCATCTGCTGCTGCCGGCCAGAGGCTGCCATCTGCCCACACTCACTCTTCCCTCTGAGGGTCAATGCTGAAGACAGGGTCCAGGCAACAACTGCCAGGTCTCTCTCTAGGCAAGGTCTCTCTCCTAGGTTCTGTACATCCCGCTGCCCGCTGGGCTTCTGTGGCGGCTTTTCAGATACTCATACTTCACATGACCAGAGCCTCCTCAGGGAGTCTTCATTCCCCCCAAAAAGTGTCTGCAGCTTCCTCAGTTCTCTGAGGAAAGAAAGGCACAGGGGGAAGCCATCTCCGGGCTCTCCTGAGGCTCAGAGCCCTTCCCCTCAGGAAGCTGCCATGCTCCCTTCCCTTTAGGAAACAGCTAGGAAACATCTCCATCTTCCCAACCAACCATGCAGGCCTGGTGGATGACTCCTGTCCCAAACATGCCAACCTCCCCCAAGGAGCTGTTCCACATGCCAATCGTCAGAATCCCTCACCGTCTCCCCAGCCCTCTTCCTGCCATGGCTGCCTTTGTGGCTCGTGTCACTTGGCTCCCACTCTGTCTCCCACATCCTCGGAATCAGGGTCCCTGAGCCCCCTCAAAGGCAGGCAGGCATGAACAGGGGGAAGAGCAGACAGTTTGAAAGCCAAGATTCTGTTCCAGGCCCCCACTGACCTTCTGCGGGACCTGAAGTGCATCCTCCTCTCTGGGCCTCATTCCTGCAAGACAGTGAGGGTCCTGCACTCTCTAAGGGTCCTCCAAGTTCTGAAGGCACTTGGATGTTGCTGCATGCTAGACATTTGAATTTTAAATAGCATCACTTTCTCAGTGTGTACCTTTGGGCAAGTCAACCTCATAACCTCTAAGACTCAGTCTTCTAATCTATGAAATAGGGATCATACCGGGATGAGCTTCATGGGGTTTTTGTGCACAGTAAATGACTGATATATATA